ATACCCCGCCCTTCTCCCGGAGGACTCAGGGCGGCTTACAGCCAGTTTAAAACAATAGTACAGTACAATACAAAATTTAAAAAGATTTAAAAATAACTATTCAGATTTGGCTGCTCCTACTAAAAATTTAATTTAAAACCCCTTTAAAATACCCCTAGGCCAGTCCTGCCTGCTGAAATAACCAGGTCTTAAGGGCGCGGCGGAAGGAGGGGAGATCCGGGATCACCCGGATCTCTGGGGGCAGCTCGTTCCAGAGGGTGGGTGCTCCGACAGAGAAGGCCCTTGCCCTGGGGGTCGCCAGCCGACACTGTCTGGCTGACGGCACCCTGAGGAGGCCCTCTCTGTGGGAGCGTATCGGCCGGTGGGAGGCAATCTGTGGCAGAAGGCGGTCTCGGAGGTAACCAGGTCCAATGCCATGGTGCGCTTTGAAGATGATAATCAACACCCTGAAGCGCACCCGGAAGGCCACAGGCAGCCAGTGCAGCTCGCGCAGCAGCGGCGTTACATGAGAGGTACAAAAGGCAGAGGGCTGCAGGATTTACCCCTTTTTCCAAGCTTTCTTGTGAGTCAAATTCCAGAAAGCGAACCTTCTCTGCCCTTAGGGCTCACCTGGCTGATTGGGGTTGTATCTTCCTGACACATAAGTATTCAGGGGCAATTTCTTAATAAACCTTTTTAAAGATGTATTGAACGTCTTGTCTCTCTCTTGGTATTCTCCTCCTTTGGTGAGCATCCTGCACCTTCTAAATTAAGTATCGACATGCAGATTAGCAGAAACAAACCCCAGGAACCCAAATCTGGAGTTGGCCCCAACGGAGAGGCATAGGATTGTGGGCTGGTTTGGATGTGGACGTGGCTTAACTCGGGGCCGGCCGTCTGCTCCTCCAAGAGACCCGCCGATTCCTTTTGCCCGGATCTTCAGAGTGGCTGATGTGCTCTTGGGTTAGGGCTCTGCCAGAATCTGGCCCCTCATGATCTCATGAGGTCTCTTCTGCTCAGGCTCCTTGTCTCACTCTGAGGATTCCGGTGAGGCTGTAACATCCACCAAAGCCATCCGAAGCAGCCATCTGGTCCCTTTGCGCAGGCCAAGCCGGTAAACAGACCCCAAGAGGATCTCGGGAGGGCACTTTCTTGGGGAAGGTATAACAGCAGAATCTTGAAGCTCCCAGAGATTGCACCCATCCCCTCTCCTGCCTCTCTTTCTCCTGCTCTCTCTGGGCCAGGACCGAGCTCTTGTTTACTTTCTCTGATTGGCTGTCCCAGTGACGCTTGCATTCCTTTGTCAAGGTTACCCTTTAGACGCCTCTCCGTTGAAAGCTTGACTAAAACCATTCAAGAGCTACCCAGCTTTTCTGGAAATGCAACAGCCTTGGCCAGCTTAGCAAAAAAAAAGAACAACCCTGATACATCTGAGACTGGCTGGGTCTGGTATCGATGACCCAGTCTGCTGGGTCAAAGATTTTAATAAGGGACGTATCAGTGCCTCTGTTAAGTCTACCTTTATGTGAAAGAAGGGATGGCAGATATCCTTCCCACATTTCAAGAATACAAAGAGCTGGACTAGCAGTTGCCAAATTGGCATTTCTGAGGCTCCCCAGGTGAGCTTGAATTAAATTGCAGATCTCCAGACTCGACTCCTCCACTTGGTTTGACAGGAGATTCCCAGACTCCTCTCAGCTAGATCAGAAGCTTTATTGCAGACAAGAATGAAATCACTGATCCCCACCATCCTGCAAATCTGTCAGGAAGTCTGTAGGTTCCCAGAGTAGAAGATGAGGCTACACATCATGCTGGCAGCTTGTACAGCAATGAAGGCTCTGCTCCATTTGCCTTCTTGGCTTCACCATCAGCTAGGGATGACCAGCAGAGGGCAGGGGAAACTTCACATTCAGTCATTGGAAGAAACAATGCATTGTGGGTCTTGGTCAAAAATCTTAGCAAACCATGTTTCTAGATACCTTGTTGAATGAATAGTTGAGCTATCTTAGCGGGGCAGGGACTGAGCTATACCTTGCAATTAATTCTTTACTGCTTTTATAAGCCACCCAGATCCCCTTTTTTGAAGTTAATATACACGCTTGGAATGAGTATCCTCTTTTCTTAAACAGATAGAATCGAGTTAGAAGGGATATTAGAGGCCACCTAGACTTGCTTGGTGCAAGATCCATCTGAGCATGAGCATCCAGCCTGTCTGATTACCTAACTCATCACTTCATGGGGCAGCCTCTGCAACAGCTGATGGTTTGTGAGGTCAGGAAGTTCCTCACAGTTTTGACCTCTGGAACCTGGACCTGCCCATCTGGAGCAAGAGAGTAAATCCCCTCTCTATTTATGCTGTGACAACCCCAGAGAGAGCCGCCCTTATTCCATCCCCTCTCCTGGCCCCTTCACTACCTGCCCTCAGCAAACTTGCTCCACTTTCTTTCGGAGCCCAGAACTGGACAAAAACTCTAACTCCCCCACTCTGAACTTTTTCTGTTTCTGCATCCCAACATAGAAATGTTTCTTCTGGCAGATACTAGCCATAATTCGACCCATGTCTGCAGCATGTGGGAATTGCCTGCCCTGAGTTCTGGTCTTGAAGAGCCCCCGTTTAAGCCCCTCTGGAAGGCCACCTGTGCTGTGCTGGACTCTACAGCTGTGGTCACGAGGAGCGGGTCAGAGTTGGCTGGCCTGAACCAGACATGCTGGCTGCCCCTCCCCGGCCTTTATCATAAAGGCCCTTGCACTATTCTTCCTTAGGCAGAACTTGCAGCCCTCAGACTGCGAAAGGGGCAGGCTGGATAAGAATGGCAAGCTGTGTCTGGGAGATGAAGAGGATCTCCTCATGTGGAGAGGCGCAAGCAGGGCATTCAGCCAGTCAGCATTAGCCAAAGCACGAATAGCCGATGATGATCAGGTGGGTTTCAGCATCATTGTGCACAGTGGCTCCTGGCTTGGGGCCTTCCCAATTTCCACTAGTGGCAAGGCTAAAAATAGCTGGAGGGCTTTCTCTCTGCTCCAGGGGAGAAGCAAAATCCCCCCCCCCCCGTACCACTGTCCTGAGAGGCAGTGCCAGTCGCCGACTCCCCCACCTGCATTTCTACAAGTGGGGTCAACATTGAGTGTCCATCTGTCCCCAACGAGCTTGATGTCCTGATGCAAACTTCCAGTCATGTCAACCGAAGGAAACACCTCCACCTGGCGTGGCTGGGGCGGGGCTGCTGGCCTGCCTCTCCTGGGCCAGGGGTTTTGGGCATGGGCGGGGGGGGGGCAGAAACCCAGAGCTGCTCCCACCCGGGACAGACCCCGGCAACCTCCCAGCCTGCTGCAGCTGAGGCCAGATGCATCCGCGAGGAGGCAGCAGGCGGGACCGGGGGGTCCCGGTCCGGCCAGGGAAGGGCTCCCGCGCGAAGGGGACCCGGGGCGGGCGGGGAACAAAGACGCACGTGGCCGCCGAGCAGGGACGCCCCGCCCCAGGGAGGGCCCGGCGCAGGGGGGGGCGGGGGCGGCTCCAGGGCTGCTGCGCTCGCGGCGGCGCTCTGCTCGCCTTCCCTTTCCTCCGCCGCCGCCCGCCGCGATGGCACGCTACCTCCGCTCTGGGGCCGCCGTCGCCGCCGCCGCCGCCGCCGTCTGGCCTCGCTGCCCGGCCGCTGCGCTCCCCGTGCTCAGCGCTTGGCCTCGCCCGCCCC